TCTGCACGATTTCACAGCCTGTCATTTAAGCGTGTTTTAACTACTATTTACCTGGTCCCACCATGGCCGGCTGTTTTAGAAAAAGAAAGGTTTGCTACTGTTTGTCTTGTTATTCAGAACTTGTATTTTTACTCAGGTGGAGGCAAAAAGCCTATCCCCAAGCTGCTTGCTCTTCTTCTTTGGATTAAAATTTGTTGGCTCCTTTACAAATATGTAATTTTATCTCTTTTTTTTTTTTTTTCTAAATAGGTAGTAAATTAAACTAAACGGGTCTGTCCATGTCTGGCACTTTTATCGTTTATCTACCTTACACAATTCACAAAGCCTCACCTGCTAAAATCTCAGCTTTCAGTTCAAAAAATTAAAGCATCTGTCTAGTCGTGGAGAGGTAAAAAGCGTATATGTGGAAAAAATACACCCTGAAGATTGAGAAGACATAGGGAAAGGCAAAATGTCTCAAATATCTTGTTCCATGTTTACTTATTTTTATGTTACCTCATTTTTCATGGTTTTAGCTTCCAGATTAATGTTGTGGTTTTGGGGTTTTTTTTTTGTTTTTTTTTTTTTACCTTTGGTCCCAGCGCTTTTGACTAAGCAGCAAGCAGGAGATGCTTCCTTAGTCACAATACAATGAAGCAAACTCTTCTTTACTCCAGGCCGGTTTATGAAAGCGAGCCCTGGAGGCAAACAGTTGCTGACATAACAGGTTGTAGAGTCAGCGGGTGTGAACGTGCCTAGGAGATCTGCAGATTTGTTGCCCTGGCCTTTGGGGAAAGAGGGACCAGAAGGTGACTCCTCCTGGCACGAGGCACTTGAGCAGTACCACCCCTGCACTCCTGTATTGCGCTACCGTTAGGGACTATACTGACATCTTCCATGTGTTAGGATGCTCATTACAGGTATGTTAAGCTCCGGAAAGTTTTATTACAGCGATCCTCTCTTGCTTCTCCAAAGCGTTTATTCCCCTAGCATATGGCCAACCGTCCAAACAACTGTTGCATAATCCTCAGAACGACCCTGCTTGTATAATAGAATAAATTAAACACTTAGACTCTTAGCAGACCTGGCTACCTGTGACAACGCTCAGCTGCTCTCTGCAAAGTGGAAAGATGTCTATAAAATATATACTTGGTGTTTTGGTGCAGTAAGAGGAGCAAACACTTCCCTTCCTGCAGTGGTGGTGTTGAGGCTGCAGCCCTGGGGAGTCAGCTGTGGGTACCTGCCCATCAAAGATACAACCACCACTTCTTAAACCACTTCCCCTTCTCTCATCTCCACCAGGCAAGCCCAGGATACTTTCTGTGTGGAAGTCTGAATGTTATATTAATTCAGAATAGGTTTTTATGCGTTATAGAAGAGAAAAATAGTAACTTTTTTTTTTTTTTCCCTAGCTTTTTGGGTAAATCAAAATAATTCTTCCTTTAAGATCAACTTTTGCAAAATAAAAAAAAAAAAAAAGTGACAAAAATAAAGATTATTTTCAAGCATTTTCAAATATATACATTAATTTTGGGAAAATGCAAGCAAGAAATCAATACTGAATATCTATATCTATATATAAAAAAAAAAGGTTCAAAACCATGCCCAAAGAGAAAGAACAAATCATGGTTCTGATGTCCCATAGTAACTGTCAATGGCATTGCTGCACCTTGAGTCTCGAGCAGATTTCCAAGTTCCTTTAGGCAGTCCTCATTGCAGTCATGCTCAGAGCAAGGGAATTTTAAGCATATAAGGCAGTAGAAGCTAAGTTCTTTCCCTTAAAACAGAGAGAGGTTGTCTGTCTTGAGTACGGGGCGTTCAGCTTGTGTGATAACTGGAGGGCCTTTCAAACCAGCTTAATGCAGAGCTGCTAGCAAACCCCTAGAGATCAAAAGTTTGATTCAGAAAACTGTTATCTGCAAGCTAAGTGGATATTTCATGTAGAATATAATTTTATGGAGGGGTGGACTCGGACAATTCTTTATAAACTTCTTCTCTTGTGAGAAACTGGATGTATCCAATTCACTGCAGAGCGCATGGTACAAAACTGACAAACCCCAAACCAGAGCAATGGTTTCTGCAATACACAACCTGTTTGTAACTGCCAAATGCAGATGCTACATGCGTTGAATGCCCAGGCTAATTACCAGATTCCAGTGCTGTACTGCCCCAGAAGGTCTGGTTTTGAGGGAAGTGTTCTTTGCCTAGTGGGAGATCTCCGTTTCATGCAGTAGACCTCTGATGAAAAATGTGAATTAATGTGCCTCCTTTTTTTCTGGAAACTCTGTGGTTAAGTCTTAAAGCAGAGCATTCTTTGTAACGATCAGCTTTCCAAGGAATGCAGTTGTAAGGAGCCCAAGTCTCTCAAACAGCCTGTGCATGCTCCCTGCCCTTCCCAGAGACCGCCTGCTGGGGAAGGGAAACCAGGTGAATTGGTGTTAAGAGCTACCAATGCTTTTTGAAGCCTTTGACACGAAGGTGAGGGTGTGAAATTGCTTCTGGATGCCTCACTTTTCCTGGATTGCTGAGCAACCTCGGTTTTAACCATTTGATGCAAATAGTTATCTCTGATATGACCTTCAATTAATTATCCTTGTTTCCCAGGTAAATAATTGTTTAGTGCGATTTCTTGTGAAATGTTATTAACAAAGGAAAAAACGCACCCAACATTTTATAAATGTGAAGGTTGTTATGTTAACAGAATTTACAATCTGTGTGTGACATGTCTTTCAGGTATATATCACATTTCTGTAAAAATAGGTGCTTTTCCCACACATTAAGAAGAAAACAGTACCCTCCTCCAGCGGGCTGCTACTTAAGCTTGTTCCTTTTCATCCACTTCCCAATATACAGCAATCTGCCAGAGCTCTCGTTGGAGAAATTTAATTACTGGGTTTATTTCTACAAATATTTAAAATTGAATCCCTTTCATAACCTTCATTCTTTATAAATAACGTTTTCAGAATTGCTTCTATTACATGGAAGCCTACGTTCAATTTTCAGTAGTCTCACCGAATCGGTGAGCCACAAACCTTTAATTCCATGAATCCAACTTCTGAAAATAGAAAGCAGACACGTTGAAAATGCTTAAACTATTGCTGAATTCCAGAGGGACAGAGGTTTTTTCTGATGTTTTTCAAAGCATGTCCTATATTTTATTTGGACAAGGTAAAATATCCTTTTGCTCCCTATTGTCTAAAATATATTAGTGCTCGCGTCTGCCTCGTGGTGCACCTGACATTGGCCTCCTCTAGAGGTTGGATACTGGACTAAATGGAGCATTTCTTTATTCTGGCTCAGCATATCTTTGTAATAGGAGCTATCAGAAGGGAAGAGGCATAATATTCGCTTTGAATTAAAAGGAAAATGAATAGCAGAAGGGGAGAAATCTGAGAGAGAAGAGACAGCAGTGAACTGTGTAATGGGATGGCTGAGATGGGATACAGCTGGAAGCTATTCCTGACATTTTATTGAGTAAATCTTGTTTATGTTACCTGCACTTTGAAGGACAACACATGAGTCTCCAGGTCTGTTTTAAGTATTTAGGAAATGCATAACTCATAAGCCCTCAGTTATTGTCAAAAACTTAATGACTACAATTTGTTTCTGAATCAAGTTTACTTTATGGTCCCCAGTGCAGCATGTATGTGATGGTAGCAACAGGTCCTTGTTGGAGTGGGAAAAAAAAACAAACTAAAAATTCAGCTTGTAAAGGATGGTAGACATAGAGAAAACTGAAAATAACAAAAAAAAAAAAAAAACAAACTACTGTGTGAAATGAAATTTTATTTCATCTGCCTTCTGTCATGATGAAAGAATTGCAACTTATGTTAACAGTATTTTGAAACCATTTTAATATAATGAATTTACATTTTTAAAATAAAAAAAATCATTAATATTTAACATTGAAAATATTTAACAGGGAATATCATGACTGAGTTATTCATTTAAGAGTAACTAATTCAGTCTTACAGGGTGGTATCAATACACTACTGCCAACAAGAATAGGAAGTAAAGAAATCTTAGTTAAAGTTATGTTCCTTGTGCTTCTTTATGCTTTTGCTTGCTGTAAAACTATGTATGGGCAGGGAGATTGACTTACAAGAAAAGTGCAGGGTTTAGAAGATATTTACACAGGGTGGTTCCAGGATCCCAGAAGAAAAAGAACTGACTGTTTTAAAACAAGACTTGTGTTAGGTAGGGGTGAAGCTACCCTTGCGTCCCGAGAAGGACATCTCCTGGCGTCACCATTAAGAAGCTTCTCTATATAAGTGTCACCCGGGCAGTTACTTTGATGGTACTTACTGTGGCGGTTGAATCAGAAATCTGGCAGCATCCAGATTTCTTAGGACTACAAAAAATAAAATAAAAAAAAAAAACAGAAAAAGTAATTGAAATGAAAATGAATGCGTGCACACGCATGTCTGCTGTGGGTTTAGACACGCATATCTACAGAGGTTTTTTGAATTTCTGTGAATTATTTATTATCTGGTTTTGGTCCCCCTGAAACATAACTAACAAATTCATATAAGCTTTATCAGCACAGCATCCCCACGGTGCAACAGACGTCCTAGAACACTGACTTCAAAACTCGGGTGGCTCAGAGGCTGCCCTCCCACTGCGATCTCCTACCGTCAGCGTTGCGGACCCCCGTTCCGCAGGCGCACTGCCATCCAGTGATGTTCTTTCTGAACATGGCACAAAAATATGACAGTGACAAAATTTAGAAGGTTTAAAAGCACTACAAACAAACGTGTATCTTTTATGCCCTTGAAGTTGCAATCAGACGTTTGTATTTAAAAAGGGAGAATTCCTCTCCAACCAATATTTGTGTATTGAGAATTGGATTCCTTATTATATAATGGAATACATGTAATACATGGAAAACCAGCTTGAGCTCTTTAACTGAGTAGAGCGTCTGCTTGGTGAAGCAGCTAGCAGTTCAGTTATTTGTATGACAATTGCACTTCTGAGTTTTTTTCTTTTTTTTTTTTTTTTTTTTTTTTTTTTTTTTTTGGCAGATGTACAGCAAATAGCAATCGACTGGATCACTGGAAATTTTTACTTTGTGGATCACGTCAGTGACAGGATCTTCGTTTGCAACCAGAACGGATCGGTGTGCATTACCCTCATCGAGCTGGATCTTAATAACCCTAAGGCCATAGCCATTGATCCAACGTCAGGGTAAGATCATTTATCCACATTAGGATTTATTTTATATGATGTGTGCTTGTCTGTGACTGCCCATCGTTTAGCTGTTTCATTCAGGTGTTTTAAAAACTATTTTTTCATCGCTGTATTGAGTTACTCGCTTAGTTGCTGTAACAAAACAGTAGCGTGTAATGAACTTGTAGTGAGTAGTTAAGTATATTAATTGCAACATGTGCCTTGCAACTTCTGAAAATTGAACTGATAACGAAAAAACAGTTTTATCCCTACTTGCCGTATGATTTTCTTTTGTGTCTGTTTTTCTGTAAATTGTCATTCTAACTAGAGTATGTGGAAAAGGAACTTCTGAAGGTTTTTTTATCCTGTATCCCCTCAGTTGCAGAAATATTGGAAATGGCTTTAACAAGTTTAATTACATAAAAAAGTGGAAGAATTTTTACTCTGCTTTAGAGGGTCAGCTATAATGGTAAAATTACAGTGTATTTGCTTCTCCTCTTCCATAGGTACATTTGGCATCTACTTGGGAATAAAGCCCTGCTTAAAATACAGGGTACTAAAAGTCTTCTGTTCCATAACACCCTCCAGATGAGAAGCATTTTCAAGAGAATGATGAAGTAAAAGCATAACTAAAAAGGAATAGGAATAAGATCAAGTTAATTTAAAAACTAGGTTTTGGTGAGGATTTTGGAACGGGGATTTTATCTTGGTTTTATTAGTCTGGAAGTAGTTTTGACTGAAATGCCTGGTGGAATATGTCCTAAACTGCCATAAGCCCCTTCTCAATAAATACAAAAATATTTACTGTAGAACAGCTTGTCATCCATATGTGGACTTTTGTCACTCTTTATTTAAAGCCTGATTGAGTATTAAGATGCATCATAACAATGACTTTCATTCTGACAAGAACAGCTTGCATGTAAAGTTTACAAAGAAGTTTTATAATGTAATTCTTGAATATAGCTGTATTTCTGTCTGCAGCAGATGGTAAGCTTGACTTGATCTGACTGCAGAGTTGTTTTAAAAGAAAAAGAAAAATTCATGTATAAATTGATTTTCTGCAAGTTCTGATCTGAAAGAACTGGAAGCTTTCAGATTATCCAACAGCAGCCCATTTGCTGTATGTTTGCTTGTACATTCTTTGCTGCATTTGCTAGATGAATCCAAAGCTTGTCATTAGCAAATCTGATCTGTCAGGGATGTAAGAATTGTGTCCAACCCTTTTGATTCCGTCAGGAGGGACGGAACAGAAAAAAATAGGCTGTTTTTCCTTTGTTTGTTATCTGCTAGCTACAAACCATTCTTATTCCGCTAGTTGCCTTTTTCCGTGCCATATACGAGAGTAATAGTGTCTATTTTAGTGTAGCTGTAAGTGCTGGCCTGTAGGAAAGACCAGAATTGATTGCGATATTTCACAGTGTGATTCTTCATATAGCAATACCAATTTATTTCATGATGGAAACACTGGGTGGAAAATTGTCTCAGAATATATGTTTTGCATTTCAGCAGTTATTTACTATTTTTATTGGCAGTTCTATTAATTATCTGACATACGTCATTCTCTTAATCGGATATCTAACATGCATTTTAACTGATAAGCCCCAACTTATATATTAGTTCTGCTTGTTTGTGACTGGGTTTTGGTACAGAACACAAACAAATAATCAAAAAGCATACCTGCTACATAAAAATGGGTTGTTCCTTTTTTTGTTTTTTTGGTCTTCTTTGCTTTCTTGTTACTCTTCCATGGTGATAGCAGTTGAGACGTGTTTCTGTGTCCAGGTATTAGCATGACACTGCTGTCAAGGTAACTTGCTGCTTATATTTTATTTAAAGAATCACAGAAACATCCATATTAAAAAAGAAGTTGATCACTGAATGAGTGAGTTGCCTAAAAGTGTGTGTGCAATAGCTTCTTAAGGCCATTACGTTTATACACTGTAAGCATATGATTATAAATCACTTTTTTTTTTTTTAATTTAAATATGAAGCCCAGGGCTGTTCTGGGAGGCTTTATCTCCTGTAGGAATTACATATGAAAGTATTAAATGTAATTGCATTCTAAGGTATTTGCTCCTGTAACATGTGTTGCTGTCATAGTATGTTCATCGGCTCCAGTGTTCTTCTCCAGGCTGAAGGTACGCTCTCCCAGAGACCATTTCCTATGCTGAGGAATTCTGAGCTTGATCACACACCTTTATGCCTATGATAAACTTGCTGTAGTAGCACAGGGTCAAGCTCTGCTATTCTTACGTGTTCACATCTGTGCTGTTACGCATTTAGTTGTTTCGTGAACCAGAAATCCTGCATTTATCAATAGAACAACGAAAGCGCTGGTGGAAAAATTCTTAATTCCAAATGGTTCCCTTCGTTGCACTCAAGAATATATTTTGCGTGTGATTAATTATACATCTCTGTGCCTGCGAGTTTTGTTAGATGTTTAGTGGTGAGGGGTTTACATATAATTCTATGAGCTGCCAATGGAACTTGAGCTACTAAGCTTATTTCATCACATACAAGGAATGAAAGAACTTATATTTTTTTTTTTCTAAAACTGAACTTTAAATTGAGAGAGATTCTGCTATTCAAAAACCTCTTGAACAAGCGCGTTTGTTATATTTCTATTCTGAGCGTGCTTCTTTGGTTTAGGGTTTCAGCACTTTTATAAATCTGAACCGTGTTTCATTTTTTGGTTATTCCAGACTACGCCTAACAGAAGCCCACTTAAAAAAATCAGGAAAGAAATCAAACCTCCTTCCCGCCCTAAACAACTAACTAATAATTTACCTAGTTAGAGGCTTTGCAGTACTAATACTCTTTTGCTACGCCAACTAATTTCCACTTAAGTACAGTGTAAGTGTCGGACCTGTGGTAGGGAGGCCATTACCAGAGGGAACGGCCGTGCCGCCGCTGATCGCTGTGAGTACTTCAGGGTCCAGACTTGTCCCTGAACATACATCGAAGAAAAAGCTAGAACAATGCTAGTAGGAAATAAGGTGGCAGTCAGAAACAGAGAGGAAAAATAAATTGTTTTGCGGTAATATATTATCTATCAGATGTCTTTGAACTAAGATGTTTGGCTCCTGATGTCTGCAGTTCATAGTTTTGATAAATTTTAATATGTGTCTTCTTTTCTTCGGTGGTCAAGAAACAGAAGCTACTGCTCCTACTGGTCCTTGAAATTGGTGTAAAATTGATGGTGGTGCTGAGGACTGTCACATGAAACAAATATGAGCTGAGTTAGAATGATTTTATCTCTAGCTGAGGTTTTGCTGTAGGTCTGCTGTCCTCACGGGGAATGACTGCTTAAAGGAATCCAGCTAGCTTGGCAATGAGCCTGCATGTTCATGAGACTTTGATCACCAAACCTATATGGTAGGGAAGGTGATACATTTAAAACTCACAAGACGATAGGTCGGATTTAGGTTCTCTCCCAGCTCTGCCACGGACCAGCTAAATGTCTACAGAGAAGGCATTTTATTTTTTTTTTGTCGCAGTATCTCCTTCTATTTAACAGGGCGCATAAAATGCATGTTGTTTAAGTATTCTGATATTTGGATGCGTTCAGGAACATTAGGAATTAATATCGTAGATTGTACTGCTGTGTACATCTACATATTTATACTGTAAATATGTATATTTAATTACCTCCAGTGTTCAAGGTAAATTGTTGCCTTCCACTGCACCACAGTGGCAGCGGAGAATGTATAGCGACATTTTACAAAGGCAAAATGCATGGGGGCAGGGACATACTGCAGCTGCCTCCCAGCGTGAGCACTTGAAATGTCCAGTCCTGATCGTCCTGCTTAGACATCTACCATAGGTGGAGTAAGATAAATATTAGTGTGTCTTAATTTCGCCTTGGACCCATTTTCCGGTTTCTTTGGAAATTTTGGTTTTCCAGGAAATGGGGAAAGGCAGGAATAGCAGATAAGGCTGTTGGCTCAGGGCTACTCCTGGTTCTAGTATTGTGTCACTTGTAATAGTGGCTCTGGTGCTATTTGGGATGCTGATCACAATTTTCTACTATATTTCATATGCTTATGGAAAAAGATTAATTTTAAGGAGAACCTTTGAAAAGCAGAGGGTATTGATCTAGCACCCACTTACAAAACTCTTCCAAACATGAGGAGACGTGTAGAGAAAGGGGGCGTAGGGTGAGATTACGAAGAGGATGTGCAGAGCAAAGCTGGGGTGTGGGAGGATGCGCGGGGCAGAGTGTTGAGAAGTACCGGGAGTGCGGAGATGGGTTAGATGCCTCCAATGGGAATGACTATAACGGCAAGGGGTATGGTACTGGAGGGGGAGAAGAATCAGAGAGGATGCCCCATTAGAGTCTGAAGTCATTGGAACTTGTAACTGCCATTTAAAAGTTGCATTACTAACAATGGGGAGAAAAGACTTAACTGCTAAAGAGATTTGTAAAAGGAGCAAGCTCACACTTTAATACGGCAACAGTGTGTGTCATGTAAATATTTGAATAAATCTTTTAATCGGCTTTTCCTTCTGCTGTGTTGCAGAAATAAAAAAAAAAAACAAACAAAAAACCAAAACAAAACACCACGAGCTCTGTATATTTCTTTCACAAAACATTTGTAAATGCATACAGGAAGAGATTGTGATATGATGATGCTAGAAGAAAAACATCTATTAATGTGTTATGGTGTTATGTACCATTTCTTGGTAATGTTAATAAGTCAGGGAAAAAAAAAACAAAACAACTGCACAACAGCAGAAAAAAAAAAAATATATATATATATATTCTGTTGCATTTTAAGTCTGTAATAGCAATCAGTTGATACCTTTAGGATCCACAAAGGTGAACAAGGGAAATGAGGGAAGAATTAATAGCTTAAGTTTTCCTCATCTCAGAAATCTGTTCTGAGGAAGAAAAAATATAAAAATATCATTCCATTAACTTCCTCTTTGATTCTAAGGACTCTAAGCACAGATTTTTCTGTGGCTAAAATCAAAGCCGCAGGGTGCAAATACTAATAATAATTAAAAATACATAATTA